GTGGTACATATACACCATAGAATACTATGCAGCCATACAAAAGAATGAGATCATGTCCTTTGCAGGAACATGGATGGAGCTGTAGACCATTATCCTTAGCAAACTAAAGCAGGAACAGGAAACCAAGTATCACATATTCTCTTACAGGTGGGGGCTAAATGATAAGAACACATGGATGAACAACACACACTGGGGTTTATCTAAGGGTGGAAGGTTGGGAGAGGGAGAAGGTAATGAAAAATAACTCATAGGTACTAGGTTTAATATCTGGGTGATGAAATAATCTGTACAATAAACCCCAATGACATCTTTACCTATATATCCTGCACATATACCCATGAACTTAAAAGTTAAATAAAAAGAAATGTGGGGAAAAAAGGTGTGTCTTATAATCAAAGAGATGTAAATGTGAATTGGGGAAATTCTGTCCTTTTCCTCCAGAACTTTATCATAAAGCTGCTCAAAATTTCAGAAAATCTATCTCAGAAAAGCATTGCTGCTTATGTCTTTAGTACCTTACACCTATATCAAGTTGCATTAGTAGTTTCATACACTAGTGAGTCTACAGGTATAACCATCTAATTTATCATGCCATAAAGTGTTGGCATGTCAAAGCATTTATATTTTAAAATAGATATTTTAAAAATTACGTTCCTTTTATTTTTCCTTTAAATTACAGCTAAGTTATTATAATGACTTTAAAAAATGTGCATGTTGATATACAATATGAATTTCAAGAAAGGAAAACATGTTATAAAAAGAAATGTTATATCTAGCCAGGCCCGGTGGCTCACAGCTGTAATCCCAGCTCTTTGGGAGGCCAAGGCGGATCACCTGAGGTTGGGAGTTCGAGGCCAGCCTGGCCGATATGGTGAAATCCTGTCTCTACTAAAAAAAAAAAAAAAAAAAAAAAAATTATCCGGGCATGGTGGCAGGCGCCTGTAATCCTAGCTACTTGGGAGACTGAGGTGGGAGAATCACTTGAAACCAGGAGATGGATGTTGCAGTGAGCCAAGATCTTGCCACTGCACTCCAGCCTGGCCACGACAGAGTAAGACTCCATCTAAAAATAAAATCAAATAAAAATAAAAGTAAAAAATAAATGTTATATCTGATGAGTTGAGAACTATTAAGGTATTGAAACAGAGAATCATGAATTCTTGTTTCTCTTTAGTAACTGGGCACTTCCTCAACAATTGTCACTAATTTTATGGATGGGGCAGGCTATAGACTGAATGTCTTTGTCCTCCTCAAATTAATATATTGAAACCTAATCCCCAATGTGAGAGTATTTGGAGATAGGGTCCTCTGGGAGGCAATCAGTGCCCTATAAAAGAGACCTTTGGTTAGAGCCCTATGAGATTAGTGCCATTATAAAAGAAACCCCAGAGAGATCCCTCACTCCTTTTTCCATGTGAGGACACAGCAAAACAAAACAAAACAAAACACAAAACCCAACAAACTATAGTCTAAGAACCAGGATGCAGGCCCTCACCAGACACCAAATCTGCTGGTGCCTTGATCTTGGAATTCCCAGCCTTCAGAACTGTGAGAAGTAAATTACTGTTTACAAGCCACCCACTCTATGGTATTTTGTTACAGCAGCCTGAATAGACTAAGACAGGTAAAGGAAAAGAAGATAAAGAAGAAAGTTCAACATTAAATTGGGATGGTCATGCAGTCTTATTTCTAAGAAGGTGGTTTTTCATGTTATAGGTTGTGTAAGGTTGCAGAATAGTATGGTGAATGAGTGCACAGGCTCTCTAGTCAGATTACCTCATTCAAATTGTGGCTCCACTACTTGCTGTGTAATCTTCGATAAACCACTTTATTTCTCATTGCCTCAATTCCTTCTGAGGCATAGTGAAGTGGAGGTCATAATATCACCTCACAGGGTCCTTGTAAAAATTAAATGAGATACACATTTAAGCGCATAAAAGTATATGGTATATAGAAAACACTAAATAAATGCAAGCTATAATGAACCAGAAACTGTATCATTCTGAAAAAGAAACTGCTGGCCAAAGATGTAACAATAGGGGATATTTCACAAATTTTCCAATCTTTACTGTATACTTTAGTAAAGTCATTCCTGTTAGACTGTATTAATTTATGTTTGAACTTCCAGTAAATCTTTCCTCCTTGCAAATAAAAACTACCTCATGGATTTTCATGGCATTTTCTATCGTTATTTTTCCATAGAATCATAAGTCACTGATGTAGTTTTTTCTGTGTAGTAAGGTTTATTGCCAATTTCCAGTAGAATAGACTTTACTGTGTACAAAATATATATTATTCTAATATGCAAAAAATGTAAAATATAACTCATAGCTACAATTATATATCCACACACCTCAAAATGAAACACAAGGATAGTCACACTATTCATATTGGTAAAATCTTTCAAAATTTTTATTTAAATTTAAATTTTCACTTAAATATCAAGATTCATTAAAACGTTCTATGAGACAGTAACTGGGCTATACTATCGTAGATGCTACAGAAGCTGCTATGCAGTCATCATTATCTAGCTGGGATAAAATTGACCTTAATGAAACAACCAATAAAGTTAAAAAGTAGAGGATAAGTAACTACGGTCATTTGCTGTATAACATTTTGGTCAAAGATGAACTGCATATACAAGTGTGGGACCATAAAATTATAATACTCTATTTTTACTGTATCGTTCTTATGTTTAGATACAAAAATACTTACCATTATGTTACAAGTGCCTACAGTATTCAGTTCAGCAATATGCTGTTCAGGTTTGTAGCCTAGGAGCAATATGATATACTATTTAGCTTAGATGTGTAGTAGGCTATTGCAGTTAGGTTTGATAGATGTACTATATGATGTTCCCATAATGACAAAATCCCTGTCATTAAGTGAAACATAACTGTACTAAGTTGGATGGTAAAAGTCATAAGGGCTATACAGAAATCAGAAAACTGTCAAAATGGCAAGTAATCAAGGAAGGAGGTAAAGTAATTAAAGTGGGAGGAGGCAGTTTGCCAATTAATATATATGTGACCACGGGCATGTTAACTTCTCTGTGCTCACTGGGTCTTAGTTTATAAAATCTAATGTATTTAAACTGCCTAGTACAATCTACATGAACTGAGTGTTAAAGAATGGCCAGGTGGTTATGAGTGAAAAATGATTCAGGTAACAGAGCTAATAAAAGCTGGAGATGGGAATGCTTTGAGTAGTAGAGATATAAATCTTTAAAAAATTTTGGCACACATAGAAAGAAAAATAAGTTCACATGTAATTTTATATTTTTCTATAAATTTATATAATAGCAAACTTCTTTTTTCCTCCTGCATGGAAAAGTAACTTTCATTCAGTATTCCCTGCTTCTCTTCAACTTGGCTCAGGTTATAATGGAAAAGAGTTACTCTTTCAACAGTGCAAAGATTCTTTGGAAAAGAAACAGAGCAGTGTCAATAATTCAAAGTCACAAAGTCAATTATAACACACTGTTTACTTGTTTACAAAGATGATACCTCAACAGATTGACTTCACCACACAAATAAAAAAAGAGCATTTATTAAGACAAAGAGGAAAGAGGGAGAGAAAAATAATTGCTCTCTGTTGTGTGAATCTTGTTTGCTATTTCTTATGGGATAACTGATTAGCTGGCAGGCAGTAAAGAGGTCATTCTGGACACATTGTCCTTGGTAGGCTGACTAGGCATACAAAAAACCCTGCAAGGTAGGCTGTTTCTCTGTATTATCTGCCAGTGACCTTCCATCAGTACTTTATCTTAGTTGAACCAGAGCTACACTCCTTCCCTCGCTAGAAGTCTTAGTATATATGCTGCATTCCTCTAAATCCTTTTTTTCTAAACCTGTACTTCTGAGTCTGTATTTGAAAGTGATCATAATCTGGGGTGCTCAAAATGGAGTTTCTTTTACAAAGAGTTATAATCATAACCGTTTATTCGAATATAAATGTAAGACATTAAACATAAATATGCAAAATTTACATTTCCCTTTGGTCTTGCATTTTTCCAAGGATTAACACCATTATTCTCACTCCAACAAACTAACATATTGTACTGGTAATCACTATCAAATGAATTGTAAGGGCTAACTGACTTGAACAGACAATAACTAACCTTACTTTTAAAGTAAATATTTTAAGAGACAATAGCATAGATGCCCCGGCACATAGCTGATTATTGCTCCTGTGCTGCAGTGAATTACCACATGAACACATTTTGGCAAAGATTTGTTAGCTTCACGTCTACAGGCATTATGAAGCAGGAAACACTTTTAGATTAAGATTGTAACCTGAGGAAAAGAACATATGCATCAGTTTAGAAATTAAAATCCCCTGAGATATTTCTTTCAGTACCGCTTAAAAGCCTCAATTTGTGCTCCTGTGCCAGTCACCTCTACGTAAGGAAAAACATTTTGCTACTCTTTATTAGTTAAAAGTGAAGAGGAAATATTGTCCACTTGCTTTGTAGATGTTGGCCAAATTATATAAACTTTAAAATCTGTAAGACAAATTGAAATATTCCTTTATTATGTCTTGTTAGGAGGAGAGAAGTTTGCCTTTCAGCTGCTCCTTAATTTTAAAAATAACACTAAACATAGTAACACTTCTCTTTAAAAATCAAACTCTGCTCATCTAAATTTTTTGGTAATAGCCGAGAATCCATACCTTAAAGAAGGAAAGCCTGTGAGTTTGTGAATCCACTTTCCTACTCACGAGAAGCCCTATGAACTGACTTGAATAGACAGTAACTAACCTTATTTTAAGAAACAATAGCTTAGGTGCCTTAGAAATTCATTCAGAGGCTTATAAATCCACATTAACACAGTTCTCACATGTTTGAGTCTGGTCTACATCCATTTACGTAAGTAAAACTCCCTTTCCAGATTGATGAAATTCTTTTTGTGACAAGAAGACAAAGGAATACAACGGATTGATAAGCGTAGTCACCGGCGCAGAGTTCTCGCGCGATGTTAGGACGCTACCGCTCTGACATCACCGGTTGCCATGGTAGCACCGCGGCGAGTAAAAGAGGGGTGGCGCTAGACGTTTCGGGCAGAGTGCGGCCGCTGCGGAGACAAGGAACTCTCCCTCTACCGCCAGTCTGACTTCTACCAAAATGAGCGGCCTGGATGGGGGCAACAAGCTCCCTCTCGCCCAAACCGGCGACCTGGCTGCTCCCGACCATGCCTCAGGAGATCCGGTCCTAGACCAGTGCCAAGTGCTCCATGAAGAAACCGAGGCGACACAGGTGATGGCGAACACAGGTGGGGGCAGCCTGGAGACCGCTGCGGAGGGAGGTGCATCCCGGGATCCTGTTGACTGCGGCCCCGCGCTCCGCGTCCCAGTTGCCGGGAGTCGCGGCTGTGTGGCGACCAAAGCCGGGCAGGAGGATGCTCCACCTTCTACGAAAGGTCTGGAAGCAGCCTCTGCCTCCGAGGCTGCTGATAACAGCCAGAAAAATGGCTGTCAGCTTGGAGAGCCCCGTGGCCCTGCTGGGCAGAAGGCTCTAGAAGCCTGTGGCGCAGGGGGGTTGGGGTCTCAGATGATAGCCAGGAAGAAGGCCAAGGAAGTGACGACTAAAAAGTGCGCCATGTCAGCAGCGGTGGAAAAGGAGGGAGAAGCAGGGGCGGTGATGGAGGAAAAGAAGGTAGTGCAGAAGGAAAAAAAGGTGGCAGGAGGGGTGAAAGAGGAGACACGGCCCAGGGCCCCGAAGATCAATAACTGCATGGACTCGCTGGAGGCCATCGATCAAGAGTTGTCAAACGTAAATGCCCAGGCTGACAGGGCCTTCCTTCAGCTTGAGCGCAAGTTTGGCCGCATGCGAAGACTCCACATGCAGCGCAGAAGTTTCATTATCCAAAATATCCCAGGTTTCTGGGTCACTGCCTTTCGAAACCACCCCCAGCTGTCACCTATGATCAGTGGCCAAGATGAAGACATGCTGAGGTACATGATCAATTTGGAGGTGGAGGAGCTTAAACACCCCAGAGCAGGCTGCAAATTCAAGTTCATCTTTCAGGGCAACCCCTACTTCCGAAATGAGGGGCTCGTCAAGGAATATGAGCGCAGATCCTCCGGGCGAGTGGTGTCTCTTTCCACTCCAATCCGCTGGCACCGAGGCCAAGATCCCCAGGCTCATATCCACAGAAACCGGGAAGGGAACACTATCCCTAGTTTCTTCAACTGGTTTTCAGACCACAGCCTTCTAGAATTCGACAGAATTGCAGAGATTATCAAAGGAGAACTGTGGCCCAATCCCCTACAATACTACCTGATGGGTGAAGGGCCCCGTAGAGGAATTCGAGGCCCACCAAGGCAGCCAGTGGAGAGCGCCAGATCCTTCAGGTTCCAGTCTGGCTAATCTCTGTCCTGTGAGAAGCTTCTGCACAAGTTTCCTTACCACCTCCTCTTGGACCTATGCTTGGCCAACAGCATGCAGTCTTCTGTCTGCTTTCTCTTCATACTGCGGATTATCTTTTCCTTTGGTTCTTCTAAATCTTCAGTAATCAGTTGCAAGATTATTGGCTTACCTGCCCATGCCATTCTTCCTCTGGACCTTCATGCTTTTCTGCATTGTGTTAACATGTTTCAAGTGCATGGCCTTCTACGGCTTCTATGCCAAACATGATACTATAGATGTACTGTACCATACTGCCTTTCTTTGCATGGCTTGGACCCTGTCTGTGACCGTGGTCTTCTCCCAGTTTAGGTGGTTCTGTACCACAAAGAATCTTGATACATCTTCACAAATAACTACTGGGCTTCATACTTTATGCTGGCTGTGTACCTGATACCCATGTACTTATGGTAAGCTCTTTAGGTATTACCACTGCAAGACAAAACTGATATCTTAACCCAGCCGTCAACCCAAATTGGACATTCCAGACTACCACCAACTGGATCCCAGCTGCCTTCCTGGGCTTGTGCCATCCACCCTACTGGTTATCTGGTAGAACAAGCTGGTGGCTGGTGGGTGACTGCTAGGCATGAATGAGGTAATAGATGAAAAGTGTTCTATGATATCACATTGGTGTTCCTGTACCTTTGGTTACTCTACATCATGACCAGCTACTGGTAAGTATGAAGCCTGTGCTGTAGCCCAGCCCTACTTGCTCTCACCTTCTGGTTGAACTTTGCTTAGGCCACCATTGTCTGCCTTCAGGAACTATCTGTAGACGTAGCTCCCAGGGAGCTCACAGGAACACCCCCTACCACCAGGATGGGCAGTCATATGTGACAGTGCCCAAAGCAAGGCTGGAACGCAGTCCCTTCCAGCTTAGTCTTTCTGATTGCTAGCCAACAAACCATCCTTAATCTGAGCAACTTCTTTAGGCATTTCCTCTTTTCCCCGCCTGCTCCCACTCTGAACATGACAAAGTTGCCAGAGTTGGGGCATTGAGGAAGAGATATTTCTGGAATGTGAGACTTCTTATGCCTCTGTCTCTGTGTCTCTTTCTTTCTCTCCCTCCCCCTTCCCCTCTCCCTCCCATCCCTTCTTTTCTTCCCTTTCACTCTGAAGCAGTTTTAGCTTATGAACAGAAAACAAAACTGGCAAAGCAGACTTTTTGTTTAATTTGCTCTTTCCTTGATTGTGTTCAGAGAGGAAAGGTATGATTAAATGGGTTCCAGATCTCTTATTGCCCTTATTCCTCCACCCCACTTCCTTTAGCAAGGTCTGACAATTTCAAAGGGAGACCTATAGGTTGTTTAGTTAGAGGCAGTGTTCTTTTAGGCAGGTTTTGACATCTTTATCTTTTACCCTATCCATTCTACCAAAACCTGTGTATTTCTTGAGCTTTTAGTTTGAGAAGCTGGAAAGAGAGAGAAGGGCCTTACAGTGATGGGTTCAGGACAGGTCCTGAACAGGATGTGAGCGAAGGCAACCAAAACTTAGCTTCACTCCACTTTTCTAAAGATGGAAATGCTTTTTCAGGCCTTGGACTGCTTGGAAATGACCCAAGGGTAGCATTTTATAGGTCATTCTTCTCCTTTGTACTACTTTGTTCCTGCCCTGATGTCCCATGTGTCTTCATCCTATTGCCTGGCTTTCTTGGCCCTCATTTTTCAGCTTCTGCATTTCCTTCCCTGCTCCTAACAAATGAAGAAGCAGGCTGCAGCCTGCATTCTGGAAGATCTCCAGCCTCCTTGTAGAGGATAAGGGGAATTTTTCCCTTTCGATTTTGAAGGCTTTGACCTAAGCCCCTTTAGGGTTGAGGAGGTCTGAACACACACAGTGGAGAGGTTAGTCTAGGTTGGGAAACTGAGTAAGTCCAGAACAGAAATGAGCCTGCTGTGGAGTGGGTTTGGAAAGGCCTACAGGAAAGACCCTGCAGGGTCAGGGGTGGGAGGGTAGGCCCCTGAGGTGCGCCCCAGGGAAGAGGAGCTGGTATTTAAATCGTATGCTTGGAGGAAGATTTTCCTTCAATTTTTCCTAAGTCCTTGAATTCACCAGTAGATTTTTGTAAACAAAACTGTAAGGGTGTTTCCTCTCGATTATCCTAGGAGTGACCTTTATATGTGTGGAAGATTAATGGTGTATGCTCCTTATGTCACTGTTTTTGAGTAAAATCTATTTCCTTTCTCCGTTTCAGCCTATGACAAAATTGATGTTTACAGGCCTGCTTTTTGCTTATAATTGACAACATGTGCAAAAATACCAAATTTGTGTCCTGTGCAGTATGAAGACTTCAGTGAATATTCATTAATATATTAGCTTGTTCTGCTCTCTGTTCATATATGGCTCTATTCTTAGAAATATAATTTGAATGTGATCTTTCAGTAGTCTGAATATTTTACAAATTGTTGCTATGTCTTGTGAAAATAACCTCAAAAAGAAAAATATGACTCTGTTGTCTTACTTGATACTTCTTGCCCTAGTAATGTACTTGACATTTATGTTCCTAAGCAGTGTAAGTACTAGTAGAATTTCTCTTGTCAAACTCAATGATGATTATTAGTACTTTTGTCTTCTCCCATGTGCTTGAAGGAAAAACAAAGTGTCACTACTGTATTTCTTGTTTTCATCAAAAAATAAAAATAAATAAAAAATTCTGTTGTCTAGGTTAATTTAAGGTTGGGAAATCATTAAAGTTATCAAATGATACCAGTAACTATCATCCTGAAAGTTAAAAAAAAAAAAAAAAAAAAGCAACAGCCACCAAACCTCCTAAGATTTTTCACTTGAAAAATGGTAAATAGAAGCCCAACTACCTGCATACTCATGAGCATTATTTTTTCTATATAACAGTGCAGTTTTTGGTGGTAATTGAAGCACCATATAGTATCACTTAAAATACTGTTTTCAGTGGAAAACTTGTCTATGCAGCATCCTTGTTCATTACATTTATATTAACTGTGCCTTCCGAGGTCTCTCAATAAGCTTAAGATAGACTTTTGGAAGAATTAATTATTGTGTATTCTGAGTGCTACTTACATTATTTTCTTACACCAGTGTGTGGCTTTAAAAAGAATACCAAGAAAACATGAAATAAAATGTCTAGAGACAAATGATATCAGGTATCACAACTTTAATTACCAGTAATGATAGTTTTGCTGTATAGCAGCAATTACATGAAGTTTTATTGGATAAATACCTCTGCATTCTCTGCAGTAAGGAGGGCTTTATGGATGCTGCAAAATCTGTGAAAATGAATTGCCAAGTATTTGTAGCCATCTAAGCAAAAATTTGACAAAAATGGCCCAAAATTTCTCATTTGAGTTAGAAACTTAATTAAACATACAGTTAGATAGATGCTGACTCCTGGTGCAATTGTTACTTGCAATTTCTTGCTGCAGTATTTTTTTCTAGGGCTGGAGAACTTTAAGTATTAGAGACCTAGGTTTTCTTTTGCAAGCTCTACATCCATCTTAATCCTAAATTCCCCTAACAATGTTCATCTTACCTTTTCAGTTCAGTGACTGATTTCTGCATTGTCAACCACCTGTTTCAAGCTTTATTATACATTTTCTGTGCCTGTTCTGGATGTAATCAGAAAATGTCATTTTTCCTACACTTGGCTTATTATCTGCTTTAGTCTAACCAATAGCATTCACTCTAATAGGCTGGTGCCACTTATTTGTTACAGATTAGCATGGTTTCTGTTCCGTTTAGTCTAATAAAATTAGTCATTAAGTTACTCAATTAGGCATCTTACAGGTTTCACTTACCAACCAACTGGTTCACTGCTATAGCCCTGCTCCATTTCTTTGTATTGCTTTTTCTTCCATAATTCTAGACCCCAATTATTCTTTATGTGGACCTCCAAACCTGTTAAGAGGTTCTCCCATCCTCTGGTCACCTAAGAAGTATTATCATTTTAGTCTTCTCAGGCGATAATCTCTGTGAGTAGTGGTGACACTGCATAATTTCCTGGTCCTCACACAACATTTCCTTGGGCTTCCATTTCTGGGCATTCAGCACAAGCCAGACACTTGTAAAAGGCTTCTCTGACCTTCTTATCAGGCCCTTCTCCCCATTACTCCTGGTGCTGCTGCTTTGTCTCCAGATAACTCAAGCGTCCTTAAAAGTTTTCGTCATTAACGAACAAAAACTAAAACTCTTACCTGTATTTTTAATTTTTGAGTTCCTGTCCTACAGAATCACAATTTAAGACCTGGATGTTTGATCTTGTTTCAGTGACATATTCCCTGGCTTCACAATCTCCTCAAAAGATCTGAGGTATGTCAGGCACTTTGAAGTGCAGTCTCATATTACTTTGATAAACCTTGTAACAAATTTTATTCTTTCCATTTAAATAGTTGAGAAAACAGAGGTCCAGAAAGTGGAAGTAAACTGCCTAAGATGCAAGTCTCACTGCTGAGTTTTCTGATTTCAAGCTAGCACACCTTCCACACTATCACAGCTATGGTAGTAAATTTGGCATACAAATGTTAAACCCTATTGACATGAGTATTCAGGCCTCAGTTGAAGGTTATGTTTAATCATTCATGAACAGCCTTTGACAGGAGTACATTTTATCCCTTGATTTAATACAGGATTCCATACAGTTACAGATGAACGCATTTGAATTTACTTACGTAATCTTGATGTTTGCTGCACATGAATGAAATTTAACAGTTTGTTCCCTTCATCAAAGGCATTGAACATTTAATGTACCAAAAAGACATTAAATGTTATACTCACGGAATTTAGCTGCTAAGCATTGTAAAGAACTGCTGACATTTCCGTTAAATTAAAAGAATATTTTTTAGTTGATTAAACTTGGTGATTGCTTTTAACACATTTAGATAGTAGTTTATTCCTTTTCTTTATTAAACTTTGTTAAGCTTTATTAAACTTTGATCTTTACAAGGAAGTAACATGACCAAAGTACCAAAAAAAGTAAAACAAACTTGTTTTTTGAAAAGTCTGTGAACAGGTACGTGGTTCAAGAAAGTAATTGTCAAGCAGTCTATGTAGTTTTCTAGTTGTCATTGTAAGTAATGACCCAACTTCTCTATAGGCCCAGATATCCCATTTCCCACTAAGTTTACTCAAAGATGAGTTTTCATCACTCATTCTCCATTTTGGTTACTTCAGCAACTGAGGGAAATTTACCAAGCAGTCAAGGTGAACATTAACGCAGAATACGAAGAAAGAGTAGGCCTGCTTACTGATGACCTTGGTGTGTGTGGCTTCCAAGAAGAGCAAATTCATTATATACTTTAGGACTCCTATGATTCTTAGATCTCTATTTTACTCTCCTAGGTAAGTTTTATATTACAGATATTTAATATATTTGGCTAAATTATGAATTACTTAAGAATAGAGACTGTGTCTTCACTTTTAATCCCTCTTATGTCCTAGAATGGCATTATTGCTAAATTGAAGTGTGGTTTTGGGCTGAGAATTTGCCCCAGTCTAGATTCAACATTGGAAGACATTATGTATCAAGTAATTAAAAGTGTGATTTTGAGGATCAAACCTGAGTTCATGTATTGCTCTCTTAGTAACAGTGTAACGTAGAGCAAGCATTGTATTTAATCACTCTGAATTTCAGTTTTCCCATCTGTACAATTTAATAATTATATGCATCTCATATGGTTGCTGTAGAGAGTAAACAAGACAATGTACATGAAGTAGCCTAGTGAGGAGTCAGCACTCATGACCACTATTTTACTATTATTTCTGAGGATAGTTCTAGAGACCAACAAGAGACACCTTTTTGAATTCATTCCATGTGAACTGGACCATGCCCAGGGATTTTCAAGGATGGCCATACGACCATACTGGGTGAATTACTTGGTATGCTGTCATGGCTTTAACAAAAGCAGTCAAGTGTATTCCAGTCTTGCACCAATCTGGGAACCAACTGTTAGGATAGTCTTCTTGTGCTCAAGAGCCTGAAAAGATGTAAGGGACTGTTACTCCAACACTGAAAATTTTAAAAAGCTATCCATGTATTTCTACCATTCAGTCAAGGTTATTATACCTAGAGAGGCAGTTTGATTTTCCACTTTATGCTGATTTGTTATATAAAATAATTATATAAATTTATTTTCATTCAAACCAGTTCGCTAAAAGTGTGTGTATTTAAAGTTATTTTTGGATATGAACATTGGTGGGGAAATAATACTTGATTTCAGTTTAGAGTTTAACAAACTCAGTTGATTTTAGATTGCAATTCATGGTTCAGTTGAAGTTTTTACTACCTCAGTATTCCAAATACCAGATTCTGACAAAACATTTGGTCACTGAGTCATTCAGATCTTTCCTCTGCTGATGCGATGAACAGTGGCCAGCAAAGAAAACCTCCGCTCCCTTAAATCTATTTTTAGGTGTCCTTTAGATTATGAATGTTTGCCTGTATGCAAATATTACATGTCTTCTGCCCATTTATACAATTTTTTTGTTTCATATAACTACTTTAATATTTTCTTTTTAATTTTTTTGGTGCCACATTTGGATGATTATTTTTAATCTTCATATCCAATCAGAAACACTGGCACTTTTTAGAAACAATGAAATACAAATTTAAAAAACCAAATTATAGTCTTGCTAATTATAGAAAAAAACATTCATTAGAAGAAATACTGACTGCTAGAAAGGAAGGAAACTTAGAAATAAACTAAACCTCTCCTTTAATAAGATGGAAAAAACCGAAGCCAAATTTGGTGGTAACTTGTTCAGGGTCTTTAGGTAGAATGCTAAAGGGGCGCGTAGAACTTCTGACAACCGAATTCTGCCTCCCGAACCCCCGCCACTACTCAGTGGCCCAAAAAGTGCAATTATTTCTTATTTTGGAGTTCTCATTTTTCATATTAACAGTAGTTTATAAGTATTTAAAGATGTATTATTTGCCATTTACAGAATAAACATGGATAAGGAAAAATAGCTTTATTTTTAAAAGAAATCAATTTTCTATTTAAAGCATATACGAGATAGCATCTTTCATGTAGTCCTAAGCTTATTTATGCTCATTGTAATATTCCAATGACATTCTGGACATAAACTTCAAGTATATCACTATATACTTATTGTTAAATATCAAAGAAAGCTACTGACTGTGAGGGAAAAATTTTAGTAATTTTTTTTTTTTTTTTTTTTTTTTTTTACCTACCCTGAGATAACTCATCCCACAGTATATCTGGGATTTAGCTGAACATTTCCAAATTTCAACAAAATTTTTTTCTTTCCAATGCATGCATTGATATGCTCAATTCTCCACTACAATCCAGGTAAAATAATGATAGTGTTTGAAAACCAGATAGTGAAAACCAGTATGTTTTCTAATACTGCCCATGATAGACAGAGTGAAATCACAGCTTAAAGAGTAGCCAGGAACCTATACTGCAAACATTTGGCTTCAAGTATCTTGCAACAAATAGCTACTAATATGACTATACATAGCACATAGAACACCACAGTCCTGGACTGTAGTATGCCTGTAAAACCCCTTAAAGCATTTTTTCTCAAACTTTTTGTTCATTATTACCCTCCTTCCCAATTACAGAAATTAAATTCAAATTAAATAGTTTCAACTACAAATTTCTTCCCAATGAGAGGAATTAATACTGAGGAATAAGATTTTGTTGGATAGGGTGATTTTGGAAGTCCTAGGGCATATAAAAGGTAACAATGTTCAGCTATATTTAGCCAGACCAATTAAGCCAAGTCTCTGGAGGATATGTTCTAGGTCGGTGGGTCTCAAACTGTAGTGTAAATTAGAATCACCTGATGGGCTTGTTAAACCACAGATTGGTAGGCCCCACTCTCAGAGCTTCTGATTCAACAGGTTTTGGGTGGGGCCTGCAATGTGCATTATCAAGTTCTCAGGTAATGCTCTGCTATTAGTCTATGGATCACACTTTGAGAACCACTGAACTAGGCATATGTGTAAGAGTGACTGTGTGTGGGAGTGTGTGTCCCCAGGTGAATTCTAATCACAAAACTATTGTATAGAAAATATCAATAAGGTTCTAAGTTTTAGGATACTAAGATTTTAATATAATAAGAGTTGTTAAACATCAAGATGATTTATAGAAAGGAGACCTATGGGCAAATATCAACTTCTTGGTCAATAAAACTCGTTCCTTAAAGTCTTTTACAGTATTTTTTGATTTTTTTTTTTTTTTTTTTACTGCATATATGGGTCTTCACTTCATTTTCCAATAAAGACAACTTATTTGGATATCAGTGTCTCATCGCTTGTTAAGACCAGTGGAGGATTTGGATAGTAGCCAGCTGTTTTTGAATTGCTTGAAGAGAATCTTGTAAATTTGTAGTCCAGAGGTAATTCTGGGGAGGAAAAAAAAGTTTAATTATTGCACAGGCCTCTGAATGCCTTTCATAAACAAATCAAAACTTGATATTCACTGATAGTAAAACTTATTTTTGAAACCTGTAAAATTTTAACATTTCTTTTGCTCCTTCAGTAGGTCTCTGTGTAGCTATTATTATAAGGTTAAAAATGTGTATAAACCATTCACCATTGTAACATATATATGGCTAATAAATACAAACTTTTACAACAGCTATAAAAAAGGCTTCTAGGCATTTAAATGTGAACGAGATAACCATGTCTAACAGAATATCCACAAATACAGAAACATTACGTGAATATAAGGTTTTAAGAGGCAAAAGGGATGTACTAAGTTATTTTTCACTTCCTATCTCATTTAAAACAATTTAATTTTATTCTTTCTCCCATATTACAGAAAAGGTCTATCAAAGGTCACTTAGGATGAAGAGTTAGATATCTTTCCCTATACAATTTATAATAATGCTTAAGGCAAATCACATTTAGAGATATCTCAAATCATCCCCAGAGCTCTAACTAGTGAGTTTAATTTTAATACTCTGCACAGAAGTTAATACAAAAATATGAAAGCTTATCTGAATAAAAATTTAAAAAAAAATCTCCCAGGCCCTCCTCAGAGGATCATGTAACTGGTGAATGAGACCTAATAATCTTCTTCATGGTCCCAGGAAGAAGGTTACTAAGAATAATCTTCAAATGCTTAGCTAACTAAGAATTTTAATACATACAACATGGCAACTTTCTTCAATTGAAGGAAGAAGAATCTGAAGTTCAAAAAAATTAACTAGACTTCTAACTTCAACTAGAAAATCTGGATAAAATACAAACATGAGACTGAAGTCACCAGAGAGCTAAAGAGGCAACCAAGACTTAAGATACAATTCCTGGGAAGGAGGAACCAGCGGAGAGAGGAGCTAGCACTAAGCTTCAGCTTTTCTGCTCTGGTGCTGGGATTCTGGCTGGTGGTAGGGGTTACTATAAGCAGCAGAAAAACCAGTAGAGATTTTGGCAGTCTTGCAGGGCTGCAGAGACAAACATTGAGGGGCTAGGACCACTGTAAAGGAAGGGTTAGAGAACTGGACTCTGCCGGTTTTCTCCTCAAACCCTTTGCCAAATGCTGAAGGAAACTTGGAAACGAAGAATTCAAGCGGAAAAGCATAGGCCTGTATAAAGGAGAGTGGATGTTTCCTTTCTTAGGCGTTTTCTTGGTATTGTGAAAATGGAGAGACTAAGCTCTGACCTGAGAGAGGACAGGGGACTTTGTGAGTATCTTAGACTGGCAGTTATATATTTCTGAGAACTAAGAGTTTGTATTTATGAAGTGATCTCTCTCATGCTAATCATTTTTCCCCTTAATATCCACTGTGTTTCATATTAATGCAGTTACTCTCTCTTTTGGTTACTGTTAGCATGGTATTATTTCATCCATCTTTTGATATTTAAACTTTCTGAATCCTTATGTCTTAGATATATCTCTTATAAACAACCTTGCACTTTGGGAGGCTGAGGTGGGCAGATCACGAGGTCAGGAGATGGAGACCATCCTGGCTAACATGGTAAAACCCCATCTCTACTAAGTGCAAGGATTACAGGTGTGAGCCACAGTGCCCGGCTGAGTATTGTTATTTTTTAAAAATCAGCTATTAATTGGAGTATTTGGTCACATATATTTAATGTAATTACTTCAGGTTTAAATTAAACATTTTACTAAATGCTTTCCATTTGTCTTGCTGATTCTTAATATTCTCTCATCCCCTTTGTTTTCTTTTAGATTCTTAAATTATTTTACATAGTAGGTTGGTATATGTATATCATCACAATTCTTTTGACAGTTATTTTAGAGATTACAACATGCATTTCCGACATCAATATTCAACATAGTCTTATCCTTAATTGTTTAATTCTAGCATGTTAGAACATGTTAATTTTTGCTGCCCCACTCTGGCATATACATGCCATTGTTGTCAGGCATTTTAATTCTCTATTTATGTAAATCCCATGGGACTTTAATTTTTATTGTTTCAAACACTAAGCATTCATTTTTAATTCATACACTTATACCATATACTTATATCACATACATTCTTCTTGCATTTCCAGTCTTCCAACATGAATTATTTTTAATTGTACCTGGAGAACAATAATCTTTATTTCCTCTAGTACAGGTTTCTGGATATACATTTTCTTTATTATTCTGTCTAAAAATATTTTACTTTTTTTTGTTATTTTTGAGACAGAGTCTTGCTCTGTTACCTAGGCTGGAGTGCAGTGGTGTGATCCCAGCTCATTGCAACTTCTGCCTCGCAGCTTCAAGCAATTCTCCTGCCTCAACCTCCTGAGTAGCTGGGATTACAGGCACCCACCACCACACCTGGCTAATTTCTGTATTTTTAGTAGAGACGGGGTTTCACCATGTTGGCCAGACTGGTCTCAAACTCCTGACCTCAGATGTATCGATCCACCCGCCCGCCTCGGCCTCCCAAAGTGCTGGGATTACAGGCATAAGCCACCAAGCCCAGCCAATATTTTACTTTTATTCTTTAAAAAGTTTACTGGGTATAGAATTCCATCAAGATTCACACGATTTTCTTTCAGCAATTTAAAGTCATCATTCTATTGTCTTTGACTCTTCTCTGTTTCTGATAAGTCAGATGTCAATCTGTTATTTAATCTATATTTATGCTCTTGATTGCTTTTAATATTTAATTATCTTTGGCATTTAGCAGTTAACTCTGAATTTCTTTTTATTCATTTTGTTTCATTTCTTTGGGCTTCTTAAACCTTTGGCTTATTTTTTACCCATCACTTTTCTCTCATCTCCCTTATTCTCTCATCTCCTGGGACTCCAATCACAGATGACCCTCAGTATCTGCAGGGCACCCCTGTGATACCAAAACCTGCGCATGCTCAAGTCAAAAAATGGCATAATATTTGCATTAAACCTACATACATCTTCCTGTATACTTTAATTCATCACTAGATTACTTATATCGAATACGATGTAAATGCTATGTAAATAGTTATACTGTATTTTTAAAAATTTGTAACATTTTAAATTGTTGTATTATGTTTTATTGTTTTTTTCCTCTGAATAATTTTTATCCACAGCCGGTTGAATCTGAAAATGTGAAACCCGAGAATACAGAAGGCTGGCCATATAGAAACCTTACTCCTTCTCACTATATCTTTTATGTCTCAGTCTCTCTTCTGTACCTTTTATGATTTTTCTCTTACTGTTTCATTCCAAATATGTTCTTTTGACCTAATTTCCAGTGCACTAAGTGACTTTTCATCTCTGTCTAATTTGCTATTAAATCCACCTGTTAAGTTCTTAATTTCATTTTTTAAATATTTAAATTCTGCAATCTCCATTCTTTTTATATCACAGTTTATACCATAGTTTTTGTCTCTACCAAATTTCTCATTCCTTCCGTTTCTGTATTTGACTATAATAAGCATGGTTATTTCTGTTAGTGTGGTCTCATATCTTTATGTGCCTGGCTATTTTTCATTATGTGCTGAATTTTATATGAATTGTTTTTAGAAATAATTTGAGTCCTAGAATGATGTTATCCTCCTCAAAAGAGAATCTATATTTGTTTCTACTAATATATTGGGGCACTACTAATTTGGAATCTCCTCAATCCAATTTTAGGTATTCAGCTGATTTCAAGCTGAGTTTTAGTTCCTGTGAAAATGGAGATTTCTTCTCAATTCATCCTTATTCTAAAGTAAAGCACTTCAGGGCCTCAACATAGATTGAGGGAGTTCACCAGACCCCACTCCTCCTCAGGCAGGCCCTCTCCTCCAGTTCCTATTCCTGTAGATTCATGAAGTTACTGAAAGGCCCACTCACCCTCTGTGGTGCCCTCTCCAGAATCAGCAAACACCCAGGGGGAAAAGTAGCCTCAAATGCGAGGTTCACCTTACTGGGCCTCCTCAGCTTGTCCTGGTAACTCTTCCCTAAATTTATAATATGCCTCCAAGCTGAATTAAAAAAAAAAAAAAATAAATTGTCAGGCCGGGCGCGGTGGCTCACGCCTGTAATCCCAGCACTTTGGGAGGCCGAGGCGGGCGGATCACAAGGTCAGGAGATCGAGACCACGGTGAAACCCCGTCTCTACTAAAAATACAAAAAATTAGCCGGGCGCGGTTGTGGGTGCCTGTAGTCCCAGCTACTCGGGAGGCTGAGGCAGGAGAATGGCGTGAACCCGGGAGGCGGAGCTTGCAGTGAGCCGAGATCGCGCCACTGCACTCCAGCCTGGGCGACAGAGCAAGACTCCGTCTCAAAAAAAAAAAAAAAAAAAAAAAAAAAAAAAAAAAAAAAAAAAAAAAAAAATAAATTGTCGAGCTTTTGTAGTTGCCTCCCACAGAAGTGCTGGTCCTAATTACCTAGGTTCCATATCTAGAAGATGTTTTCCCCAAAGATAAATCAATGTTGTGGGAAGATTTCTTTTTCTTAAAGACAAGAATTCTAGTACTGGTCATTGTTGTCTAGTAACAGATGAAGCTTTATAGGTATGTTCCCCCTTACCTGCAATTGCTTCAATACTTGGAATTGCAATAGTGCTGTAAGTACTGATTCTCTTACAAGACCATGTATAAACCAAGGAGTCTTCTGTGTTTTCCAGTCCCCAAACTGAATCAATAAAAAAAGAGCCCCATTTTTTAGATGAAGTATTTAAAGGCTTTGCTTTTGGTCCCTGAAACAAGAGAACAGAATAATTAAAATGGTGATTAACTAATGTTCAATCTCATAACTTTTTTGTCTATGAAGTAAATAAAACCTTTGAAACCCTGTAGGAATCTACAAATAGGCTTTGGGCACACATTAAGTTTTTGGAACAGGAATAATATTTCCTCCTTATTATGAAGTATCCTTTATTTTAAACAGAAACTAGCTTTTTATATGGTCAGTTAGTTATTATCTGAAAACTAGCCCAAACAGAGCAACCTAGAAAGAGAATTTTTTTCCCTATAATAAAAATAACTCTGTAATTCTATTATGATGATGATGATGTCTAAAGGGTAGTTAAAAAAAAACTTGGTCTAATTTTCTTATTTAGTATTTATTTTTTAAAAAGGAATGAGGACAGGATTATTATTTATTGCTTTCAGTATAAACAGAACATGAAGTCAATAAAATTGGTACAAAGTTTCAAATTATTAGTCTTTTTTTTAAAACATGATGGCATTCAGCCTGACCAGGACAATTTTGGAGTCAAGTAGTATAAAGATACTTTAGCTTTCAAACATAAATATTTTTCTTTCAAGGAAAGAGATGCAGGGAACCCTAACCTCATATTTTCCTTTCTTCTCTAGAGGCTCTGACTCCTCAGGCCTCTGACTCCTTGCGCCTTCATCCCCTCTGAGTTCTTCCAGGATGAGGACTGTCTCCCAATTACTATAGTGACGAGCTGGGAAAATGTCTGAATGCATGCTGTCACCAAAATAAACAACCTGTAAGACAGATAGCAGATGCTGTTTGAGGCATAGAATTGTGAAAGAGAGTGGCATGCATTTCATATAAAGAAGAAGAAAATTTCTCAACAGGCATCAGAGTATGACAATCAAAAACTGCATAAACAGCTTAAACGTCTTTAATAACCTCACAGGTGACCATCAACTTGTCTCATTTGATTCACAGGGTGCCAGATTTGTCTTAAGAAGTTATACAACACATTCACAGGTGGAAGAGAGCATAAGGTGAAATAAGTGATTTTATTCAATTTTCCTAAAGAAGAGAACCTATATGTTTACATAGATGTTTACAATTACTAATAAAATGGCCCCTGCAGTTGAAGGGCTGGTGAGGTATTAGAGACAACTTGTGGAGTAGAGATTATTAAAAGTGCAAATCACAACCACTTTTCAAGAGAGTTTCTGGGCCCAACTTCAGATTGGTTGAAACAGAATCTGTGAGAGTAGGGCTACGCATGTTGAAGCTAGAAGGTTCCCTAGGTAGTCTGAGGCAAAACTCCATTGACTGAGTCCATACCTCTCAATTTTCAGATATGAAAACAGAGTTAAGGGATATGAGAATCAGCATCTGCAAGTCAGACTGCTCCATCCATTAACCCTCAGGAGTCCCCAGGGGACTGTGGCATGGTGACAGCCAATGGAGCAGGGCTCTGTTACCCCATGATCTCTCAGCTCACAGAAATTCTGGTAAATATTTTCTTAGAAGAAAGGGTTCTGCTGTTAGAAATGCACCAGTGTCCAACATCAACAACGTGATCATGCTGTCAAAAACAAGTGTATCTTTAAGCTAGTCTGTAGCATAATTTCAGTTGTTTGTTTTATATATGAAAACTTTTTGGATGGATTGTTATCAGGATTAACATTCCACAGGCATCCTACACACTCACACACCCCCTAAATCTGTGGTGCCCTGCCTGGAATCCTTGCTCTTCTCTATCACAGATAGACAGCCTGTCTACACTGACAAAGGAAAGGCTTATTTAAGCAGAAGAATTAGGAGAGGTTTGGCAGTTCACAACTGCTTATGTCTGCAAGTGGGCGCTGAGGGCTTCTCCTCAACTGGAAAATACCTTGGGTTCAGGTTTGCCAGTCATTTTCTTCAGAAGTTCATAGAGGTGGACAGCGTTCCCTTGGGAGTACCAGCCAGGTTTATCCAGAGATGGCAGCGCCTCCTGCTCCTCATCATTCTCTGAAAATACAGTTTGACAATCATATACTTTTTAATCAAGTGAGAGTAGCCAGCTGGGCAGACCACACTTAGGGCATGGCTGCAGGACATGTACAAACAAGAACCTTGTGGGGAAAGGAGCTGACATTCAGTGGTACCTACATATTATAAGGCCCTTAAAGGTATATACTTTTTAATCCTATGGCCTTCTTAATTGGGGAAAATAAAGTTCCGGGAAGTTATTTTGCCCAGGATCTCAATGCTGGTAAGTGATTTATTCGGTGATTAGATAGACATCTGCTTGACATCAGGCCCCTACTACTACAAAATGGTTTACCAAATAAACAACACAATGAAAGTCATTAGGTGTTAATTTTTTAGAATTGAGGGTGAGGGAGATAAGTTTTTAATTAGTAGTCTATCATATTCAGATGTAAATTTTGCACACTTGATGCCTCAAATGCTTTACCCTAGTACCAGCTTGGGGTGGGTGGGGAATGAAAGGACTATCTGATGCCAAAGCACAAGTTTGTGGACCGTTCCAAGTTGTCCTCTCCCAGCACATTACCTTCCCACTCCTGTTAAAGCAGGGCTGGTGAAAGAGTCTGCCTCTCTGAATTTTGCCCACTATTCTATTACTTGTACACGAGCTGAAAAGCTGAAGAGAATCCGCCTACCAGCACGATGATAAAGGAAGACTGAGTAAGGTTTTACGAAATACATGACATATCAGCAGAGACTTTGGTAGCTGTTGATACAGCTTTGCAAACTGTATGGAAAAAAATAACCTCCTTTTTCTCCCATCAATTATATGATTTCTGATTTTAAACAGGTTTATTCTCCCCACTTTTTTGGTCCTCTCTGCTGTGCCACTAAGAAGAATCTTGTAAGATACAATCCTATGTTGGATACAGAGGTTGTGTGTATACAGAAGCTTATGTAATTAGAAGGGTCCTCTTTAAGAGAACAAATACAGTATTAATATAAAATTACCATGGTCCCTGATAGGATTTGGAAGAGATAAATGAGGGGGTCTTAAAGCTTAAGCTGCATTGGCTTTGTTGTACATCAGCCCTGGAGTAGGACAGGGAGAAAACAAAGGGTTTAGAAAGGAGGCAAAGATGGGTAAGTCAGTCATTAAAAATACATCTCTGGCAATATTAGTACCTTTAACTAAAATCGAATTTTCCCTAAAGAAACTATATGTAAAAGTCACAGACAACAACATTAAATCTCTGCTTAGTTTATAACATAAAACATCTTGAATCTGGTACTAGAGAATTTAAGATTTACAAATTAAAGATTGGTCATTATAACTGAAATGAAATATAATTTATTAATTCTACTACAAAATGAGTCAAATGTATCACAATATTAAGGTGCATTTCTGCATAACCTCAGATATTTTGAACACAATTCTAAAACTACATTTATAGATAATTAAAGCCAAATCATAGCAACTAGCAGCTTATGTTCAATAAATATTTATGCTATCCTGCTGCCATTTCAGCAGCCATTTTAAAATTCTTCTGCAAAATTAAATGAAAATCCCACTATTCTTTAAAGAAAGAATAGATAGGAAGCCAAAATCATGTACTAGCCTAACAATAAAAGGGTCTAAGAAGATTCAGCATATTCCTGGAGAAACACAGTAAAAAGTGATCACTTCTGATGTCTATTTATTTACTGAAATGTCTTACTATGCAAGTAATGTGGATTTGATGGCAATTGGAAAATGAATAATTTACAGCAATATTTCTGAAAAGACTCAGTTGATATGTAGATGCCTACTTTGCAAGGATAATGGGAAGATAATCTTTCTACTACTTATGAAAAAAATTTTAAAAATCCATAGTATCATAATTTCTTAAATGTTGAGACTCAGTAATCTAATAGGAAACAAAAAACCCCAAATCAAGTCAAAACAAAAAATTCACTTTATACAAACATTACCTCCCCTCCCTGTTTCCAGCCCCTATACTGGAGGCTGCCTTAACGAATAATTAATCTACAAGGGCAGCTGAAGCTGAGGGTTTTGGCAGAGCCTTCACAGCTAGGAAGCTGCAAGACTCAGAGAAGTATTAATTCCTGCAGTAGAGAGCCTGTTCGGACTGTGAAAGCCACAGAACTGAGGTGAAAGCTGTACAGTGTAGATGAACAAACTCAGGGAAGTTTCAAGCACAGTGTTTATAAACCCAAATAAACATTTTTTACATTATTTAGATAGGGCACTGTACTTCTTTATAAGGTCAATTGAAAATAGTTACATAAATCTCTATTTTTACATAATATTTTAAAATGTACGCTGGGCAGGGTGGCTCACACCTGTAATCCCAACACTCTGGGAGTCTGAGGCAGGCAGACTGCTTGAGTCCATGAGTTCAAGACCAACCTGGTCAGCATGGTGAAACCACAGTCTCTTCAAAAAATACACAAATTCACTGGGTATAGGGTTGCACACCTGTAGTCCCAGCTACTTGGGAGGTTGAGGTGGGAGGATAGCTTGAGCCCAGAGAAAGAGGTTTCAGTGAGCCGAGATCACGTCACCACACTCCCCGCTGGATGACAGAAGTAGACCCTGTCTAAAAACAACCCCCACCCCAACCCAAAAAACAGTGTCCTGCAAAGAGTACAATGAGGATATTGATTTTAAAAAGTTTAATTAAAAATATGTTAGGGCCAGGCACGGTGGCTCAAGCCTGTAATCCCAGCACTTTGGGAGGCCGAGACGGGCGGATCACGAGGTCAGGAGATCGAGACCATCCTGGCTAACACGGTGAAACGCCGTCTCTACTAAAAATACAAAAAAACCAGCCGGGCGAGGTGGCGGGTGCCTGTAGTCCCAGCTACTCGGGAGGCTGAGGCAGGAGAATGGCATGAACCCGGGAGGCAGAGCTTGCAGTGAGCCGAGATCCAGCCACTGCACTCCAGCCTGGGCGACAGAGCGAGACTCCGTCTCAAAAAAAAAAAAGTTAGAAGGGCCAGGCACGGTGGCTCACGCCTGTAATCCCAGCACTTTGGGAGGCTGAGGCAGGTGGATCATGAGGTCAGGAGTTCAAGACCAGCCTGGCCAGAATGGTGAAACCCTGTCCCTACTAAAAATACAAAAAATTAGCTGGGCATGGTGGCGCGTGCCTGTAGTCCCAGCTACTCGGGAGGCTGAAGCAGGAGAACTGCTTGAACCCGGAAGATGGAGATTGCAGTGAGCCGAGATAGCGCCACTGGACTTCAGCCTGGGTGATAAACGAGATTCTGTCTCAAACAAAAACAAAAACAAAAAAAGTTAGAAGATATAGAAAGATAATGTTAGAAGATATAGAAAAAAATGAAGACAAAGGGGATAGATGGTGATGATAATTTGCTTCCACAGTTTTAAAATGGGGCTAAAAACAATGCTTACCTCACAGAGTGGTTGTATAAATAAATTAATGCAGATAAAAATAGAGCACATGGAAAAATGTCTGCCATGAAGTAAGTGTTTAAGAAGTCTTAGCTATAATCCCTTCAATTTACAGGTGAATAAACTGATATCTGAAAAAGTTAAGAAATCTGCCCAAAGTCACTGAAATGTTATAATAAGAGCCAGGACAAGAATGCACTTTGTCTCCTTATTCCAAAGAATTTCAAATTAGGGCTAGAAGACAAAGTAAGATGATACTCCCAGAGAGCATTTCCGAATTTGGATTCCTGGACCTGAATGTGTCCCATGGTATTGCCACAAACAGGAAACAACTATAGCACAGAATAAACCTTTATCTGTTATCCCTGAGAACACCCGCAAACTAACAATTCTCACTTAGGATGGAGCCTCAGCCAACTCCCTATGACATCTTTATATAAGGCCCAAATTTAGTGCTGTTACAATCTTCCATTTATATTGAAAATAGGTCAGCAATGAATGAAGAAAAGAAGGAGGGCTTTAGAATGCCCTTTGAACTGAATTCAAATATCTCGTGAAAAAGCAAACCTGTATTATTTTCCTAAAATTCCACTGTCCCAGCTTTAATTTAAAGCAGTCTTAACAGTTAGGTAAAATGTATTAATTGAAAACATTTTTCTATAAAAATATATTATTAGGACAATTTTCTATACCAAAGTTCTACAAGATATACAAATTATTCCTCAAATCCTTTAACTTAATCGCTAATAGATGTTTGGGTTATAAAATAACTATAAAGGAGAAAACTCATAGGAGAACAAAGCTCAAACCCTTTCTTTCAGCCTACAAACTACCAAAAAACTGACCTAATGAAGTTAAGAAACAAATGAAGTTGGATAAAGACATGGAGGAGCAATCAATTTAGGCAAATAAATAAAACTAAAGCTGTCTTAGAAACTGTAATTTATTCCTAAATATAGCTATGTTTTACTACAATGAAGTAAATCTTTTTATTTTCTTATTGTAAGAACATACGGACAAGATGAGTTTAAAAAACAGTAAAGTTTTTGACAGTACAACAGTTACAAAGTAGATATGGGACAATGATACAGTCAAGGCTAGACTGACAATCTTGAATAAAGCTAAGCCAAACTTACCACAGAGAGCAGAACCTGTGATAAGTTTTGTAGGCCAGAATCTCTAACCTCAACTCACAGTGACTGCTGCCTCTCCTAAACTCCCAAAGCGCTTGGTGTCATTACTTTATTAATGTTTAAAAATATGTATTTATGAGATTTTTTCTGAATCAGTAATATATTTACATATTTTTAAAAAGTCTTATTTTTGAACGCTATCTGGTATGCACTCACCTTTTCTGCAAAAGGCAGTCACTCTTTTATGCACATAAAAGCAAATACGAATATGAGCATATTCCTTTCCTCCATGTTTTTACACATTTGTTGAGACATAACCAACATACAATAAATTGAATGTATTTAAAGCATACAATTTGATGAGTTTCAGTATATATATATATACCTGCTATGGCCTGAATTATGTTCCTCCCCGAATCATAAGTTAAAATAATAACCCCTAGTATATCAGAATGTGACTATTTAGAGATGGAGCCTTTAAAGGCTGG